AGATTGAAAGCACCCAGTACATGACATGCAATAAGATGAATGTGATGTGTGTGGGCCAAGTATAAGAGATCCAATGTCTGAAAACAGAGATCTCTGGACCGGCTGCCCCCTTAGTGGTTGATATGTGCCACCACTGTAGAACTGTCTGAATGTACCATCACCAGACAATGTCAGGCAAGACGAAGGAAGTGATGCAATGCCTGGCTTATGGCTAGAAGTTTGAGAACATTGATATACAAAGTGCTTTTGTTCCCAGATTAATGGCTCAAAGCCTCCTGGTGATTGACCCATATCCCCCATCCTTGAAGGAAAGTATCTATGAAAAGATGCAGATCCGGATGTGGGGGAGGAAGTGGCATGCTCACCGACGTATGTTCTTTGTTCAACCAAAAAGGTAGATCATCTCGCAGGGAAAAAGGAAAGGTAATGGGGGAGGATCCAGAACAAGGTTCCATCATTCATGAAGTGCCCATTGAAGGAATCTCATAGGGGCATGACTGAGGGGGACCAGTGATGTCATTGATGACCACATCCCCAAAAATGATAGAACCTCGTGAGTAGTAAGTGACTGAGCTGAGAGGGAGTGGCAAACCACTAGTTCCATCAAACAAAGTCATAAAAGTGAAGGCTAGATCCAACTGATAAGTATTGAAAATGACTCCCAAATGGACAACATATTGTGTGGATCTAAGGAAGGACTTCTCCAGTTTGATCAACCAGCCCAACCGAGTTGTCACAGAAAGAAGCTGTCGAGTATGTGTGGCCAATTCCTGTTCTGAATAAGTCAGAAAAAGCCAGTCCTCCATCTAACAATGAAATCACATCCTCAGAACTGTCGAGCAAAAGCTTGTACTGCTCAACAAAACACGTAAGGTGCCGAGGCAAGTCCGAAGGGGAGGGCCTGAAATTGATAAACCACCCAAAGATGGACAAACTGAAGATAAAGATGAGACTGGGGTGATATCGGTATATGAAGGTAAGCATTGGAGACATCCATTATTTGCATCCCCACCCCAAAAAAATGCCCAACTCAGGGTGGAAAAGACTCCATGATTAACCTGGTAAGTGAAACGAAGCAGTTGAGGAAAATAAATCGATTACCAGCTGCCAATCCCCAGTTTTCTTGGAGACAATAAAAAGGCGGGAATAAAAACCCTGGGAAGGATGGGGGTAAATATATGATGGCTTGCTGCAAGAGCAGTTCCCAAATGGGGTAAGGAGAGATAAAAGGTGGGGAAAGAAACTGGACAAGGAACTTTTCTAATACAACCTGAAGCACCCATTGATTGTCAACAAAGGAACATCAGTAATGAAGAAACTCGAACAGCTGAGATCCCACCGGACCAGAACCCACTGGGTCGTCACAAGTACTGGTGGCAACGTGGGGTGCATCATCAAGGAAAGTGAAGAGAAAAAGTACCCAAGTAGAAGAGACAGGTAAGGGTTGGGAATGGTAACTGGAGGCATATGAGGCTCTGATTGAGACAAACGAGCTACAATATTCATAAGGGTGGATTGTTGTTTGACCGATGTTACCCGACACTCTACAGTATCATAGACCATATCAAAAATGAAATGCTTAAGAAATGGGGCCAAATGTAAATCCCTAAGATATGTCGAGGGTAATCAGACCCAAGCCAATACGGCATTACGACCTATAAGGTTCCAACAACAAGGAAATCACGAATGTAACGCCAGTGCTGAAGATGACATGCAGGCTAAAGTGGAGGAGAGAAGGGCAAGATATCACCAGAAAACCCCTCAGTCTCCTTGATCTTCCAGCGCATATAAGTAGATGAATCCAACGTCAAGTCACCCACACCTGAGGCCTGAGAAAAATGGTGGTTACTGGTGTAACCCCCGAAGTGGTAACATTAACTTCGGAATTCATTGCATGAGAAACATGTTGGAATCTTGAAATTCCAATTGGGTGGAGTGGAAGGCTTGTGGTATGCATAAAGAAAAAGTTCGCCTATAGAGGGCAGCACTGAACGAGAATAGCTAATCTTATGAGAGGAGGTAAGTATGGTATCGGAAACTCATTTAAAGTTAGATCTTTTATTAGGTTGTATATTTTTATTTAATAATCTGATTAGATGTTAAATATATACTTACTACCATTCACAAAACTGTCTGAGATATGAATTGAACAGATAAACACTTTTCCTCTGCAATAAACATTCTACATCAAGTACAACAGAGAACGTTAACTGTAACAAAGATGATAAGACCTAAATATCAGCTGCTTAATTCTGTTGTTGTTTTTTAAATCATATTTACTCTTTAACTTATTTTTAATGAATATTAATTTATCTGAAAGGTCATAATGGTCTTCATCCACCTACATTGAAACTTGTTATGAAACCTCATTTTCATCCACTAGTGCAGGTGGGCCAAATGTAGACCCGTGGTTGTTGATTGAAATATCATCCTCAAGCAAGTTTCCAAATATATGGATGAAGTCCATTATAACCTTTAAGTTGACTGTTTATTCTTTGTCCTAAGCAAGTAAAAACTAACTAATATTACTTAATCTATAAAAAACATAGCTGTACTTCAACAAAATATAAGACTTAAAGCAAAAATTGCTATCAAACTTAATACTACCGACATTCTCTACGCATTCACAACACACACATATTCTACACATTCACAACACACACATATTCTACACATTCATAGCACACACATATTCTACACATTCACAAAATAACACATATTCTACACATTCACAAAATAACACATATTCTACACATTCACAGCACACACATATTCTACACATTCACAAAATAACACATATTCTACACATTCACAGCACACACATATTCTACACATTCACAACACACACATATTCTACACATTCACAACACACATATTCTACACATTCACAACACACATATTCTACACATTCACAAAATAACACATATTCTACACATTCACAGCACACACATATTCTACACATTCACAGCACACACATATTCTACACATTCACAACACACACACATATTCTACACATTCACAACACACACATATTCTACACATTCACAAAATAACACATATTCTACACATTCACAACACACACATATTCTACACATTCACAAGATAACACATATTCTACGCATTCACAAGATAACATATTCTACGCATTCACAAGATAACATATTCTACGCATTCACAAGATAACACATATTCTACACATTCACAGCACACACATATTCTACACATTCACAAAATAACACATATTCTACACATTCACAGCACACACATATTCTACACATTCACAGCACACACATATTCTACACATTCACAACACACACATATTCTACACATTCACAAAATAACACTCATTTGCAGGTAAGTTCATAATAGTTTGTTTCTGCTACTAATCCATACTTGTTTATTCATGTCCAACAATGTTAAATTAGTTTTAATTCATTTTTGCATTTGACCAATTATTTGTATAAAACTGTACGTATATATATTTTAGTGTATAGCTTAACAGTCTGATTTTGATTATCTTTAATTACCAGACAGCTGATAGATTTTAAATTTGGTGACAATGTTGAACTGCAGTGTTAATTTATTTTGCATTTTACTCATGACTTGTACTAAACTGTATAAAGAACAACAATTTATTTACAAAGCTGGTTTATTCATTTATCCTTTTTACACTTTACAGTTTTACTTCTAAGTACTTAGTATTTGTGGCCATCATTTATGCTCCTGTTTTGTTTATGTATCTTTATTTGTAACTTTTGTCGTATACTTTTTTATGCAATTTCATTTTCTGCTTTTTTATAACTTTTTTTTTGCAAACAATCAAAATAATTTTTACTTTATATTACTCTTGTTTTAATTTACATAGAAAAAAGATGTGAGAATCTTACACTAAATATAGTAAGAAGGAGAAAGAAGGAATTAGTAATAACAATATTTCGAGTAACTTAACTATCATAGTATTAGTAGTAGTAAGTACAACTGTCACAAGCTCATCTTTCTGAATAGTGAATTATATTTTGATTATGAACTAAATATAAAAATTAAGCTAAATTATTTTATGTAGTTCTGCTAATCAAATGCAAAAGAATATAAAAATCACAATAACTTCTTTCCGTTCAAATGCTAAGCCTAATTCACTTCTAAGACCTTTTACTCAAGCCATCAATGAATCTAAATTTTGCTAAGCCTAACACTCATACATCAGTTTCCTCCACAGAAGTATTTATTTTGAGTTTATACTGCAATATAATGATTAAAATAAATCTTTAATTACAATTAATAATACAGCATGTTTTTAGATGCTATAAATAAATAAAGTCAAGTAACTGCTATAAAAATCTCAAAAACATTTATTTGAAACATTGTTACAAACCAACATCTTTCTCGACTGCTTCAAAACAAATACTAAAATAAATAACATACACTACACACTATTTTAAAGCTCAGAAAAAGGCTCTCATTACATGTTTAGTTCACCGTCCTATGTGAGATATAGATTGTTACACTTTAGTTTTAAAATGTTTAAAACTAAGCTTGTATTTGCCCAGGACCGTTGATTTATTGACCAAACTGTTGAAAATAGTTAGACTATTGATCATAGATGGCATACTTTGCTATAATTATGGAGGAAAGTTTAAAAATTTCTGTTGTTTAACATCAGAGGGTGCTTATTTGCAACCTAAAACATATTTTGGGTTATTTTTTGTTAAATTTCTCTTTAAACTTAATAAATGGAGTAGAAACAAATAACATAGTATTATGTACAAAGAATGTGGAAATGGACTTATATAACTGAACATGACAGAATTAATAATGCAGCATTAATTTCATGTTTTCTCCACTGTTCCTACCATCTAATATTGGAATGACGTATTATAAACTGTATGAAACGTATACATTACACACAAAACATAGCACTACCTGATGAGGTGGTTTTGAGAGTCTACTGGAGAGGATGACAACATATGTGGGTATAACACAACTGGTTCACCACAAGAATCTAATACCTCTAAGCCAGTTAGCCCAATAGTTTGCAAGTCACCCCATGAGGCTGTTAAAGTCAAGATTAAACCTGAAATACATACAAAGAAAAGTTTTCTTATTTTTGTATTTAAACACTGTTAAAACAATGGACAACTAATATATAAATAGACACACACACACACACATATATCTTTTAAGGATAAATGTTTACAGAGGTTTCTACCACTTTAAAATCTTCTCTAACAATACTGCAATCTCAGAAGAATAGTGAAATATTCCAGAAATAAATAACTAAAATGATTAAAATTGCAAGAAATATTTTAAACAAACAGTTTATCCAGTAAAGCACCATCTGTAGTTAGATTATATACTGTACAATTGTATCAACACTTGCATAAATGTTTTTATATTTTCAATGGATTTTCTTGAAACAGAAATCTTGAATTTTAATTTCAATAAAAATATAAACCTTTTTCTTAACCTTTCTTTTGGCATTACAAAAAAATTAATATGACAACAACAAAAGCTAACATTTTTCTCCTATTTTGATACCTCCACACACACATAGAACAGCTCTATTCTTTAAACATTGTACCGTGTGAGGAGGTGAGGTATCATCAGGAAGTTAACACTTCACAATAGACACATGCCTCTGCATACACTAAATCATGGATCTTATCCTCTGGGCCACAATATTCATGTGGCCCTTTCAGGAGATTTGTGTGGCTCTCGGGCCACCTGCTGTGTCCACTGAGGAGGAATCAAACCCATGATTTTAACACTGGAAAATGGAAGGCTTACTGCTGTCCCACCGGTGGACTTTTTTTTTCATACAGGTTAGCCATTTACGGCACATTGTGGCCCTCAAAATGTTTTAGTCTTCAGACAAAAAAAAATCATCTCAGAATTTTTTTTTTATTCAGTGATTTGTGGAAAATGTTCAGAAAACTTTTTTGTAGGGTTTTTACTTGCAGTTTGTAAGTATTTTCTTAATACAGAGGCTAATATATGATGCTTCTTGATCAAATACACAATAATTTGCCTATAAATTTTGATACTAGGTTATTAAATTGTACTCGGAAATGGCTAGGCCCTCAGATGAAACTGAAAACTAACATAACAGATCTTCTTAGAGTCAGCCAGTTCTGGCGATAACAAGTTTTGGTAGTACAGAAATCTTTACCCATGATGAAAATTAAACTTAAAATATAATTTTATTATCCATATGAAAATTTCCATGCTTTTTTTAATAGCTAGATCACTGAATTTTAGATCCAATATCCAGTCAATAAGAATTACAAAGGTAACTGAAAAAATAAGAAAAAAAAGTTAAGCATCTGATTAGCTGGAAAATGGCTGATATGGTACTGTTGATGGTACAAAGGTACGTTACCATACTGGTCCGATTATAGGGCAATCTCGAATATAAGGTGACCCACATTTTCAGAAACCATGGGAAAGAAAAAACTGAGTGTCATAACGTCCTTTTCAGGTCCACAAAATCAATACTATAACTAAACACCCTGCAGGTGGATTAGTGATGACCTTGAGGGAACACCTGGCATGCATGCACAGATGGATGCTCATCTGATCTGGACATTCAGGAATACGACAGGATAGAGTAGGGGAAGGGGCCTGTGGTCAACCATGATTATAATGCAACTATGAATTTTACAATTGGGCCAATACGGTAATAATCATTTCAAGCCAGCAACTTTGATTCAAAACATTTATAAGTATACATACATTATAAAGCCTAATAAAATGTTTGTAGTATGTTCAAAATGTTTTTTTAGAGAAACTCTCCTCCATAAAAATAATAATTTTTACTTCTTTAATATGAATGCATACATGAATAAGGTGACAGAAATTTATGTTTTGATAATGCTGTGTGCTTATCAAAACTGGGGTTTAAATTTGTAGCTCATAATGGAAGGTGTACCATGCTATAAATATTACTGTGTGTTATTCTTATGTACTTTTAAACCCTGTATACATTACAAATTGTGGATAAAGATATCTCCTTGTTAATTAAAGATTTGTTTAGGTAATATGATCAAAGTAGAACTGAAGTAGAAGTAAAAACAAAAAGTGACTTAAAACATGAAAAAACCTCAAAGACATGTTTGTGTGTGTGTGTGCACAAATCAAAATAACAAATAGCAAGCAGAATACTTGAACAAGGAACTTAGTAAGTACAAAAGTGAAATACCATCATTTCTGTCATTTCAAGAGCAATGATTTTCTTAAGTAACAAAACAACTGTTTTGTTTTCTAGACCTTTAATATCCAGAACTTCAATATACTGGTTTCATGATTAAGTGTTTCTATTAAATTTAACTAATATATCTTAAAAGTTTGCCTTAGAAGAAAAGCTGCTATACATACTTGCCTCATATATTCCTCATTGTGATTGTACACTTGAATTATATTTTATAGAATACCTGAAATGTAAATTAAAACAAAAATGTTAACAAAACATCAAACAACTGTTGAAAAATTTACATGTAAATCAACATTACGTGAAACTTACACTGTCCAACAAACTTTTTATTTTTGCCTGAGTCCAATAAATTCATGTTATCCCCCGTGAGAGATCCTCTTCTGTACTGTGACTGGCGGGGTGGATTAGCAGTGGTGAAAGGACGGTCAGACTACAGATATAAAACAGAAAAGCTTTCTTTTAACATTATTCTGAATTGACATGACAGATTTCATGACATATTAATTAAACAACAACAAAACGTTCAAGAAATCCTGACTTTTTACACAATGCACCATTTGAAATCAAAACAAAAAACATATCATACGACAGATTCTATATTTTATTTTCAAACTTTGATATTTTTTGTCATGGAATCCAAGGATATTTACTATATAAAAACTTGTGTATTTAGATAAGCCAATAACAACTGATAAAGAAATGAGATGAAATCCTCCTCGCATATTTTCATCTGTTACAGGACTTACAGATATATCAAAAGTGGGACACTTCTGTGTTCTTTTAATACAAGTCTAACTGAAAAAAGTTGATGACATTGCAAGTCTTTACTGTTATTTCTTCTGTAAATCTTTGTAAAACAGTTATTGTTTTGTAAAAAATCTTGGCAAGATTATTAACAGTACCAATTTATTGTGAAGCTACTGAAAATCTTGGTAAGATCATTAAAAACATTCAGTTTTAAGATTTCTCCAGGTTGAAAGTTAATAAAAATTATGCTACCCACCCTCCCACTCAATAAAAAAATAAAAGACTAAAAATATAAGATACATTTATGCTCTCCACATCTTTATATATTTGAAATAACTGAAGATAAACGAAGTCAGCCCAAATGGCCATCTACAAGTGGGCTTTAAAACGTTTCAATGCTCACTGGTATAATATCTGGAGATAATAACGAGCTACACTTAACAGTTAAGGAGTTAGTGAAAACTGAACAGTGTACTCTTACTGGATCATCAGTAAAAAATTATGCTTCATTTTTAAATAAACTTTTTTAGATTGCATGTTTTATATTTCTTGTGCAAAGGTACCGTGAGGTGTACAGCCATCAACCTGAGGAGAGGCACTAGTTAACAGCACCCACAAACTCTTTTTTTTTACTGACCAAACAGAGGTATTTGAACATCATTTTTATAATGCACCAACACCTAAAAGTACGAATTATATAATTGGAGCATGCCAACCACTAGGCCATACCTGTATCTGTAATATATTTTGTTCTTTAGTTCTTTAAAACTATAACTACATAGCTAAGTAATGAAGATTTTAAGTACATGTCAGAACTTACTCCACTTCCCGTGCTAGCAGTCTGAGGTCGTTCCACGGGTTTTTCAATGGTAGCTACTGATGGGTCGATAACATACTCACTGAAAGTCTGGTCATGATGAGATATGGCTTCAAGTATATCATCATCAGTAGTAAACAAAATAGTCTAAAGAAAGAGATGAAATTACAGTAGATGAAGTTTATAGATGATAGGGAAACCTCACTTAATACCCACCAGAATATTTAGCCTTTTTTTATTAAAAGTTATTTTTAGATTCTGATATTTAAAAAAAAACAAATTCAATTTGAATGTAAGCGTGGCTTTTAGTGTTTTATTTTTAAAAGTATTTTTAGTTGATGGAAAAAGCCTAGATGGACCAATGTGTCTCTTGTTGTCTTTAAATTATATTTTATATTTTTTAAGCAAAACATATTATAGGATTCATTGTTATCATTAGAAATGCAGAATGTATATTATGACATCTGAATGGACAACATCAGTATAATTTATGACTGTATTATTTGAAAATTAAAAAGAAGACTTCGCCAATTGCTGAAAATTGTGTAGTTTTTGTTTGTTGTGAGGTCATATTTAAATTAGATTTATAATTTTTGTGAGTAAATAAAACATATAATAAGTGATAAACTGCATACAATTTATAAACTCATATGCAAATCCAGATATATATATATATATATAGTATTGAAAATAGATATGGAAGTGGTGAATAAAGTGTATGAAAATGAACTACCCTACAGTATGGTTAGGTTTTGGTAGTTTACACTACGACTTGCTGTCATCCAACTAATCAGGCAGAGTCACGCCATAACAGTATTTATAAAACTCAAGGTAGTCATATTATTCTCATGCAGTCTCGTGGTGATACCCCCAAGGTTCTCAGGACAGAAATACTACATAACAACAGTGTAGATGTTGAGGTTTTGGCTTGTGACAGATTGAGGCAAAATTTCATGTTTCAGTAGGAGTTGTGTAGAACTCTGGAGTGAGTACATGAAATAATACTATTGATAATGGAAGAGGTTGAGGTAGAAAGTCCAAGCTCTTTAAAAGCAATATTAGTTAACCCAGGATATGCTTTTTACATGATCCACAAATATCCAGTGAAGATCTTGCCAATGACCTAACTGTAAGTATAGGTTTGAATGTTAACACCAGAATAGCAACATACACATATAGCATAAAGTAGTAGAGATGCAGTTACTCAATTAGCACTGTTTAAGAGAGGTAACCAAGCCAAAAGGTTGAAATTAGCATCAGACTTCAGGTAATGGGAAAAGCAAAGCTGAAGGGCAGGCGCTCTTTACAGATTAATCCAAATTCATGTTGTTTGGCAGCAATCAATAGTTGTTCAATAGCACTAAGAAGGATGATATCAAGGTTAACATACAACAACTAAACTGAAATATGTTGGAGGGAAACTGTTACATGTATGAGCTGTATCCCAGCCAATAGTGTTGTAAATCTACATAAAATTGATGGCACCCTGATTTTTGACAGGTACAGGCAGATTTTTATCTATCATGTCCATCACTAAGGGACAAGACCTAGTAGGAAGGGATTCATATATTAAGCAAGATAGTGATTCATACAAAAAAACTGTTGAAATGGTACCTCCAAAGAAAAGTAGGTTGACAGAACAATTACAATTATGGCTTGCTATTTACAAATTCCTAAACGAATATTATTAAAAATTCCATGTGCTTATACGGAAACTCAGATCAAACAGGAATCAAACAACTTGGCAGAATTTCTGGGGAAAGACAGGGCATTTTTAATTAAAGCAAATATGAAGTACTAGTGCAATATACAATTGTTTACTTCCCTCTTGTATGTTCTGTAATAATGTATTCTACTTATGATAAATTGACCATTTAGCTGCAATATCTCATTTTTGTGACTCCTCTGTGTATTACCTGTACATTTCCATAATTATTTTCAATCCTGTATATTAATTTAAATGCAGAAGAGTCAAGTCTTTATATGTGTACTGAAGAACAAATACTGACATATGTGAACTGAATAACAAATATTGAATTTGTATACTTCAACTGGAGTATTCAAACATTTGTGTACTATGAGTGAAAGTACTGTTATATTTGTACTATGAATCTATGAAAGGAGTATTGGTACATGTGTACTATGAAAAGTGAACACACTTGTGTGTATTATGAATTATGGTACTGGTGTGTGTGTGTGTGGACTATAAATGGAGTACTGAATTAACCCTCTTGCTATGGGCTTGGTGGATTACACTGATCTAGTGACCCCAAAGTGACCATAAGATTCCTTATTGTAGCTTTTTAATATGTTTGGTGTATCTTTACGAAATTTGGCAAGCTTTCAGTAAACAATACAAGTCTCTGTACACAAAAAATAATTTTTTTAATTAATTATTTGTACTGATTAGTTTGTCCATGAGTATATGGAGTCAATGTACTGATTGCTCTGAGTTCAAAATGATTTTCATGTTAAGATTAAAAATACTTTTCCTCACCTGAAAATTGTCAAATTTCCTTTGTGTTATCTCTAAAACATTCTAAATAAATACCAAACGTTTTTTTCTGTAAAACTTTATATTGTATCTGTTATTGTCTCTACTCTATATGCATTCATTCAATTTAACCGAACTCATAACCACCATAAAAAGTATGAAATAAACCTCAACTGCCCTTTTTTCTTTCTAAATTTAAGAACTTAAAACTTACATAATATTATAATTTGTTTAAGTAACTACAATTTGATGTCAATTTTATTTATATACATTGATAATAAAGCACTTTAATTAAATTTTGAATGTAACTAAAAAGTTGTGACATGCGCACTCTCAACAACATGTAGCACGAGAGTTAAATCACAATTTATAAGAATGGTATTTCAGGCCTCATGCTGTATTTTGAAGTGTTTCATTCATCACTGATCATTAAAACCTTTGAGCAATAGAGCATAACACTGGAATTTATATTGTAACAAGCTTCTTTAAAAGAAATAGGCCCAGCTTTATCACAGTAGCATTTTGGATTAAAGGGTTCTCTTTCATAACCATTGCCTTCACTTTTTGGATAAGCAGATTGCTCTGGATTGGTTTGGGATGTGGTTTAAAAGTCCACTTCTCCTTTAGATACTCTGCTGTGTGAGTTTTTATACATTTGTGAAGAACACTGAAGACTTACCATTTCCAAATGTTATGTCCTTTGGCACTACATTGCTTAATAATCTTTGTAATAGTGTTTATCTTTGGATAGGTTGTGATATATATTTCTCCAGCCATACTCATGGTTCCATTGCACTTTTTAACAGTCAGCAATTTGCCATAACCCAAATACAAGTGCTGAACACATCACTGGTGGCTCTATAGTGTGAATCTTTTGTAGCACACAACTGCATTAACACATAAAAGCCATCCATATAAAGTATGATTGACCCTTTACATTGAAAAACATATATATATGTGTGTGTGTGTGTGTGTCTATTATGAAAAAAGTACTGGTATATATATATGTATATGCATACAATGAATGAGGTACTGGTAACATATATATAAGTGGAAAACAGGATACTGTTTAATGTCTAAAATTAATAAATTATGTCCCTAAAACCAATAAGTCTTAATTCCTTTTAATTTGTTCATTTTGTATTCAAAACAAAGGAATGTATAAATAGCATTTCAGGTCTATATTTTAACTCCCATAAATTACTTCCAAGAGGCTTTTTGTTTATTACAAGAACTCTTCAGCTGAGCTGGACAATGAAACAAAATATTCCTGAAATGCTATTCACTAGGGATGCACGGGTAGTAGAATCTGGCCGAATCCCGGGTCCAGGCACCCAGTCACTAAGCTTCGAGTGGGGCCAGGTTCTTCCCTTGCCCCCCAAAAAAACATACACAAAAATTAGAAACAAAAACAAAATTGATGTGTCTTACATTTAACCAAATAATCATCAACAGAACATTCAAGTTTACTTTCAACTTTCAATGCCTAGCCCCAACTTCACAAACCCTAACCCCTATTGTTCTCAAAACCCCCACTTTCCCCAGAAATCCACTTCTCAAGCCATGCCTGTCATTAACCCCTATTCTCTGAATCCCTAACTTTCAGTGGGCGGTCAGTTTTTGTTGCTCAGAACACGTTTTTTTATAACTAAACCAATTATTGACTGTAACTTTCAGTACCGCGTTAGTTGTCACAAAGATTAGGGCTTAGATGCCTAACTTCGAAACTCGGCCGGAGCTGAGTATTACCGGGTGGCCCAATACCCAACGGAAACCGAATATCTGGCCAGGTACCCGTGCATCCCTACTATTCACATATGCAGTATCATACTTTTAGAAGTTATAATTCAAACCCCAAAAGCTGGAGAAGCATTAGAACTGACAGGATTAAATTTATGATAAAAATAACATATAATAAGTGATAAACTGCATACAACTTATAAACTCATATGCAAATCCAGATATATATATATATATATAGTAT